CGGAAGGAGCTTCCCTGGGGTTTCCTAAACTTCTCCTAAGAAGAAACCCCTAAGAAGGAAAGGGGGGAAAAGGAGGGAGGGGAGAATGTATCATCATATTTGATTGACTATTCATTTTTAAATATCTCTGGAAGGATACATAAGAAACTAGAAACAGTGGTTACTTTTTACCAGTGAGGGTGGGAATTGAGTGGCTGGGGGGTAGTGAGAGACACACTCTTCACTATCTTCTTATATTGTCCAGATTAAAATAATTTTTTTTTCCTTTATTGATTTTAGAGAGAGAGGAAGGGAGATGGAGAGAGAGAGAGATACATCGATGAGAAAGAACATCAATTGGCCACCTCCTACATGCCCCCCACTGGGGATCTGGCCCACAACCTGGACATGTGTCCTGACCGGGAATCAAACCTCTTGGTGCAGGATCAACACTCAACCACTGAGCCACACCGGCCAGGCTACTTTCTAAATTTTTGAAGCATCCAAGCCAAAAAGTAAAATAGAATCAATTAAAATAACAGTAAAATAAAAGACATGTCTTCAGATAGTTTAGGCAGGCTAAGCAAGGGTGCACTGGAGAAGAGGAAGGAGAGCGGAGGCAGCCACAGATCCTGTTCCCGGCTCGAGGCTGTGGCCCCTACAGCTTTGTCACGAGAAGGAGGCATGGGAGGGCCAGCCTCCGTGCAGCTCTGCAGGCTGGCTCCACCTCACCATAAGTCTAAGATGAAAAAAGAATGTGACTTCATCTTGGGCCTCGATCTAGTACAATAGTTACATTATCTTGTTTCTGCTGCCTCTGAAATCCTCTTGAACCTGGGCTTTCTCCATCTCTCATCTTCTTTCTTTTCTTTTTCTTTTTTTTTATCCTCACCTGAGGACATTTTTCCATTTTTTGTTCAGGTAGAGTGGGAGGGAGAGAGAGGAACAGAGAGAGAGAGAGAAACATCGATGTGAAAGGAATACATCGAGTGGCTGCCACCCGCACAACCAACCAGGGCCGGGGACAAACTGCAACTGAAGTACATGCCCTTAGCGGGAACCGAACCCAGGTCTCTCAGGACCGCAGGCCGACGCTCTAACCGCTGAACCAAACCGGCCAGGGCTCCATCTCTCATCTTCATTACTCTTACAGTCTTCCAACTGGCTTCCTTGTGCCAAGCTTCTAACTCCCAAAATCCATCCTCTAAACTTTACATTTCTTTTCAGAAATGAGAACCTGGTCATGCCCCTCCAGGCTCTCTCCGTGTTTAAAGTCCAGCAGTTGCCCACGAGCACAAGATAACACATCTAAATTCCTTCTTCATCCTTCTAGGATCTTGCTCTGCCTGCCCATGGCCGCATGTGGTTTTCTGAATGGCCCAGCCTGTCATGCTTTGTGGCTTTGCATATGCTGATTCTTCCCCCTAAAGTGCCCCCTTCCTGTTTTGTCACCTGGAAAAGATTTGGCTCAAATGCCATCTTGTCTCTGTGACCCATGATGACCCCTCTTTTTGCCTCCCCCAATTCTTTTTTTTTTTTTTTCATCCTCACCCAAGGACATTTTTCCATTTTTTGTTCAGAAAGAGTGGGAGGGAAGGACAGGAAGAGAGAGAGAGAGAGAGACATCGACGTGAAAGGGACACATCTAGTAGCTGCCACCCGCACGACCAACCAGGGCCGGGGACAAACTGCAACCAAGGTACGTGCCCTTAGTGGGAACCGAACCCGGGTCTCTCTGGACCTCAGGCCTACACTCTAACCACTGAGCCAAACCGGCCAGGGAATGCCTCCCCCAACTCTGACCCTAGTCACCCCACAATACTTTGAACATATGCCTATTATTAGCACATTACCCTGTATTAACATTATTTCTACATTTTTATCAGACTCCCAGCCTCATGAGAGCAGGAGTTATGACTTACTCATCTTTGTATTTCCAGCATACAGAAGAAACTTGGATGAGCAGTTTGCTCTGAATTAAGTCCTCAGGACTGGTTGCATAGAACAGCAGCTAAGGTGCCCTGAGGTTAAACTTGCCTTCCAGAATTCTGTAAACTTGGCTCTGTCCCTGTCCAAATAATGATGAAGTTTAAACACTACCACTGGCATTAAACAATGATTGGAGTTTAAACTCCAACCAGCTAAATGTTTAGTTCACTTTTTTTTTTTTTAATGCTTTAGTACTTGAGGAGAGGTGACCTTATACCACGGAACCCAGAGTGGTTTTATGTGCTATGTGAATGCTTTGAAAGTTAGGACATGTCACATTCCTTAGTAATAGCACAGTGATACTGTGGCAACAGGTAGGCTTCAATAGCAACCATCTGTGGACAGAGTCACTTTGGGGGAACTCCAAGGAGTAGGGTAGTGGTGTTCTTAGTTTCAGCTTGGAGAGCCAAGTGTGATTTTTGCATGGTAGTCCTTTCTGCAGGGTGGTTGTGGTGAATGCTAATGAAATTAGAAACTACTGAAGGACTAAAGTCCATAAAACTTTTTGCTTTTTGTTTTTGCATTTCTTTTATTGTGGTAAAATATACATCACAAAATTAACCATTTTAACTATTTAAAGTATAAAATTCAATGGCATTAAGTACACGTACAATATTACATAATCACTATCCATTTCCACAACTTGTTCATTATCCCAAATAGAAATAATGTACCTATTAAAACTTCCCATTTCCCTCTTTCTCTAGCTCCTAATAACCCCCGTTCTACTTTCTGTCTCTGTGAATTTGCCTATTGTAGGTATATCATACAAATGGAATCATATATTTGTTCTATTGTAGTTGGCTAATTTCACTTTGAATAATATTTTCAAGATTCATCCATGTTAGGGCATGGTTAAGGGCTTCATTCCTTTTTATAGCTGATAATATTCCATTGCATAGACATACCACAATTTGTTCATCCATTCACTTTCTGATAAACATTTGAGTTGTTCCACCTTTTTGGCTATTGTAAATAATGCTGCTATGAGCAATGGTGTACAAGAATCTGAAATCTTTAATTTCTTTGGTAGATATCTAGAAGTAGAACTGCTGTATCATATAGTAATTCCATGCTTAAGTTTTTGAGGAATTGCCAAACTGTTTTCCACAGCAACTGCACCAATTTACATGCTCACCAACAATGCACAGGGTTCCACTTTCTTCCTATCCTTGTTAACATTTGTTTTTGTTGTTGTTTTGTTTTGTTTTGCTTGTGGTAATAACCATCCTAACAGGTTTTGTAGTTTTGATTTACATTTCCCTAGTGGTATTGAGCACCTTCTCATGTGTTTATTGTCCATCTGTATATCTTCTTTGGAGACATGTCCATTCAAATCTTTTGCTCATTTTTTAAATTGAATTTCTTTTATCTTTATTTTACTTTTCTTCTTTTTGAATTTCTTTCTTGTTGAGTTGTAGGAGCTCCTTTTATGTTCTGGATTTTTGTTGTTCATTCTCATCTGAAGATATTTTTTCCATTGATTTTAAAGAGCGTGGAAGGGGGGGAGAAAGGTGGGGAGGGAAAGAGAGAGAGACATTGATGTGAAAGAGATGCATGATTGGTTGTCTCCCACATGCACCCCAACTGGGACTGGGGATCAAACCTGCAACCTAGGTAAGTGCCCTTGACCGAAAATCAAACCCAAGACCCTTCACTGCACCAGCCGACACTCTAACCACTGAGTCACACTGGCCAGGGCTGTTTTCTGGATTTTAATCCTTGATCAGATATATAATTTGCAAATACATTTTTGCATAATTTTTAAATATGTTTTTGTTGATTTTTTTTAGAGAGAGGAAGGGAGAAAGAGGTAGAAACATTGATGTGAGAGAGAAACATCGGCTGCCTCCTGCATGTTCCTCACTGGGGATTTGGCCCACAACCTGACCAAGAATCGAACTCGCGACCTCTAGGTACATAGGTTGATGCTCAACCACTGAGCCCCACCAGCCAGGCTATTTTTGCATAATTTTAAAACTTTATCCAAAAGAAAGTAGTAATGTTATCAGTAGCAGCCAATGTGATATGTTGCCAGCTGGGAGACAAGCTTCCTTCTTGTCAGCACCTCAGAAATGGGGGCAAGTAACCAACAGCAACAGGTGGCAAGAATGAGAGCCCAGCAGGTCGGGACAGGAGGGAAGAACAACCAGTGCTGGAGTCTCATTTCAGAAACTTGGAGGGTGAAGGGAAAGACCCCGGTTCTCCCTCCTCATGCCCCCACAGCCGTTATTGACTGGGAAAGCCTTTTCTGATTCTTCCTCCCAGTGCCCCCTCCACCCCCACCCAAACATCACTTTCTTAAGTTATCACCTTGGGAGATCTTGCCCCAGACTCCTCCCCTCCTGATCCTGTTCCCCAACAGGGAGTGAAGCAGTTATTTCAGGCCAGGCCTTCTCTTTACTTCGTTTCTAGGGCCTCGGTCGTCTGAGTCTGACAACGGAGTTGGCACTAAGAAGGCTGAAAGTCCACATTACTCCAAAGTGTAGCTGTATGAGCCCTGTGATCTTGGGAAACCACTTCTCTGTGCCTTGTTTTTCTCATTTGCCATTGGGGAATAATCAGAGGGCTGTGGAAAGGGTTAGACGAGATAGTTCCTGGAGTGTGCTGAGACTAGGGATAGCACGTTGAAAGGGCTTAATAAGCTATTATTGTTGTCACTCAATCCAAGGTTCCTCTGAAGTTCAGAAGTGACCCCAACCATGCTCCCCTGATTTTCTGCTCTGTGCTTTTCCCAGGTTGCTGAGTGCATGCTCTATGAATAGGCAATGATGCTGCCAAAGGTGTCCAGCACCCACACTCAATAACATTAGAAACTGAATCACGGTGCCCAGATACAAAGCAAGAGAAGAGGGTATCCCAAAGGAAGGTGGTTCGCTCAGAGCCACCCTGTGAGAGCATCCACAGCACTGCATGATATTTTCCTTGACTGCCTAAAATAGCATCACACTCACCTGGTGATATGGCATAATTTCAGTGTTTTAGCCAAGACCCAGTTGTTGGCAGTGATAATGCCACCAGGTGTTAGATTGGTGAGGTCATGCTGGACCTACCTCAGCTCAGCAACCTCGGTACTTGAGTTCTGGCTAAGAAAGAATGCAAAGCCAAGACTCAAACTATAAGATAAAGTGTATTTAGAGAGTCACAGAGGTAGAAGAAGTGAGCCATAGAAGAAATGGGCTCAGAAAACCAGTTACAGAGGCAAAAGAAGGGACCCTTGAAGCCTAGGAGAGAGGACGTAAAGGTAATGCCCCTGGGGGGAAGGGGGGGGGGACAGGAAGAGCACTGGGTCCTCTGTCCTAAGGGCTTTTAAGGATGAAGATCTTAGGGGAGATCCCAGGGGAGAATCTCAATAGAATATTCATCACGTTTCCAGGGGTGTCCTTTCAGGGTCACGGTCTCCGCTGATTGGTCAGTGCCAGGGCAAGGGGTCATTAGTCAATGTAGCTGGTTCTGATGTCAGCCATGGCATTGCTTGTCCAGTTTTGCTGCTTTTCTGGGCCTGTAGCTGAAACACAACTGAGGCCTAGATGTGTTGTTCCTAGGGGTTGCTGCTTAAGGGAGTGGTTCTGTAAGGGCCCACATGGGAGTTGCATAGGCTACTCTTTAGCCTCTTGTTCCCCCTCCAAGGGGGTCAGCCTCATGACCAGTGATATGAAAGGTCAGGGGGTCTAAACCGTATGACCAGCAGTATGCAGAGGGAAGAAAGGTCCTTCTTTTCCCACTTTTGCCCATTGCTAGGCACCCAGGGCTTTCCAACCTGTTGACCTTCTGTACCTGGTCTATTGGTTTTGGTCTGATCTTGTCTGTCTCACTGCCTACCACACAGTTAGGGCAGCAGCAACCCACCGTGGATAGGTCTGGCGTGCTCATGAAGGGATGCTTGAATAAACACCCTGACTCAGTCCAGAATCACTATGACAGAGCAGCTAAGAGCATGAGTACTGGAGTTAGACAGTACTACTCATCAGCTGTGTAACAGAGGCAAGTAGCTTAACCTCTCTGGGCCTCAACTGTTATCAACTGTAAAATGAAGATACTAGTATTACCCACTTCATACTGTTTTATGTAGCTAAAGAGTTCATGTGTATACAGGACATAGAACGGTGCCTGACATTTGGTGAGCACGCTCTTAAAAAAATATATGTAGTGTTCTGGACCCATCAACCACTAAAGACACAGTAATTGAAGAGAAATATTAACTATCAAAGAGAAACAGATGGAGAGAGTGACCCCAGCTCCACCAAGCAACATGCTTGGCTGAGCAGGGAGGAAAGAGATAGCTTGGTGCCATGCCCCGGTGTTGGCACTAACTGGCATGTTTCCTTCACTATCGCACAGAGACGCCTGCAGTCAGCAGGGTGGGGCAGGAAGCTGAGGTGAGGAAGGATAAAGAACCCTCACTGGGGCTCTTCTGGGGAAATACCCTGGGGAGGAGCCCTTGTTCCATTCAAAATATTTTAGTAGAAGACAATGAACTTATATTTGCTCGTGACTTAAGCAACATCAGCTTCATTATTATTATTAGTGTTTTGCACCAGCCATTAGCTTGGAGGTTACATTGAAATAAATTCTAACACCCTTCCATGGCTCTCCACACCTCTGCAACTTCCAAACTGGGTTCGTATCAGGCACTGGCTGGCTATAGGTGCTGCCTTTTTATGCTTCTGCCAAATGAACTCAAAAAGAGACTGGAGGCTTTAGCTAGAAATAAAAGATAAAGATTTATAGTCGTCCCTCGTTTAGCTGTTAATCCATTCCAGACTCTAGCGGTTGCACTTGGCGTTGAAGGATTCCTGGGGTGCTCGAATACATAGGCCTACAGTCCATACGTACAGTATTTTTTAATTGTAATTGTAATACAGGGGTGTGTAATTGACTCAGACAACCGAGCGCTCACTGTATCATTTTCACTGTCTCGATCAACTTTTTAATGAATATATTTTAAAAAACCGCGATAGAGTGAAGCCGCAGAAATCAATGTGCAAAGTGGCGAGGGACGACTGTATTCATGCGTCTTAGCCTTTGCAAACTTGGAACACAACTAGGCAGGAAAATAGACAAACTAGACATGTTCCAAAAAAGAAAGGAAAGCTAAGTGTTCTTATACTAAAAAGTCCATTCTTGAGAATTATCAGTCCTGTATTCTCAGCCCTAGGACTGGACAAGGATGGTTATCCGTCAGATGTCATGAGGTCTGGACGTCAGGTGGATGTTAGGTGATCTGAATGAGTGGGCCCCTGGGCGGGTGGTGGTGGCGGCAAATCAGAGGGATATACGGAGGTCTGGATATCCAGGAATTGACCCAGGACTGAAAAGTTTAAAAAGTTGAAGTTTCCAGTCTAGTTAGGATAAGAATAAAGTCTTTCCTCAGGCCCCAACCTTTATAATGTTAATAATTTTAGAGCTCGGTTAAAATGACTCCATTTTATATATTCCTTAGCTTCACTCTTTCCTGGATTCCAAACAGGCACCCACAGCCTGCTGTTTGAGTCCCCACTCAGTGTCTCAGGAACACCTCCACCCCCACACTGGGTTTTCTAGGAGGTAAACTGTCAATTCTCAGGTTTCAAACCCCTCTGGGTTTGGCATTTGGCTCCCTTCCTGGCTCAACTGGCATTTCCTGGCACCCACTCTTGTTAACTTCATCTGCTTGAAGAAACAGCAGTATGGCGCGGTGCTTAAAAGCACAGAATCAGCCCAGCCGTGTGGCTCAGTGGATTGAGCGTCGTCCCATAGACTGAGAGGTCCTGGTTCAATCCCTACTCAGGGCACATGCCTGGGTTGAGGGCTCGATCCCCACCAGGGGCTGTGCAGGAGGCAGCCTATCAATATAGCTCTCACACTGATGTTTCTGTCTCTCTCTCCCTTCCTCTCTCTCTAAAACATCAGTAAAAACATATTTTAAAAATAATAATAAAAGCACAAAATCAGCCCTGGCCGGTTTGGCTCAACCGTTAGAGTGTTGGCCCGCAGACCAATGAGTCGCAGGTTCGATTCAGGTCAAGGGCACATGCCTCGGCGCCTCGGTTGCAATTGGTCCTGGCCCTGGTTGGGGTCATGCAGGAGGCAGCCACTCCATGTGTCCCTTTCGCATCAGTGTTTCTCTCTCTCTCCCTCCCACTCTATCTGAACAAAAAGTGGAGAAATGTCCTCGGGTGAGGACAAAAAAATAAAAAAAAATAAAAGCACAGAATCAGATGAGAGTTCAAATGGGTGCTTACCGGTGGTGCTTACTGGCTGTGTGAATCTGGGTAAGTGACTCCATCTCTCAGAGCCTTAGTTTCCCAGTCATCAAGATGGGACTCACCGGCCCTTCCAGTGCTGTTGTGAGGATTACAGGAGATAAAGCAGCAGAGCTTTGCACATACCTGGCAGCCAGTGCTAGATAAATGAGAGCTATTATTAGCAGGCATCTGATAGCTCAGCTAGGCCCTGCAGCTGCTCTTTTGAATCCCCACCCCTACTCCCTCCTTCCTCCCAGTCACTAGGTTTGAGGAGTAGGATAATTACTAACTGTTGAAACCTGGGTGGAGCACAGGTATATTTAAAGTTACAAACCAGTTTGTGACCAACTATTTCAGCTGCGCAGATGTAGGGCACCATTTGCCCCAGGCTAACTGTTGCTGTTTTGTGAAGTAATGTGGGTTGGGAGCAGAAGTGAGGCACCACAGCAGGGGCCCGGGTGCTGGGCTCTGTTGTTGGCTGATGTAGGAAAGAACTCTAATGGAAGCCACCCACAGGAAGGGGGAAGTCAGTCCCTTTCTGTTCTCCTCATTCCAACTGGATTACTTGCGAGGGCTGGGGACAATTGAGCCAGAAGCAGGAAATGCTAGGATTTGCTGTCCACAAATTTGTTGTCTTAATGGTACCGGAAAGAGGGCCTGGCCCTGAGCGGGTCTGCCTAGGACCAGCTGGTAGTGCGTGGGTGCTTGACTTTGCGCAGGAAGGTTCACAACACGAGTCCAGGTGAATTTCAGAGGACGTTTGTGAAAGCTGGGGACAGTGAAACAAGGAAGGGCTGGGAAATGAGCCTCAGTGGAGCTGCTCTGCTTACTAAGAAGTCTGCAAAAAGGGGGCCTTGAGGACAGGCTCGGGGGTTTGTCTGGGATGAACTGCTGCTGCTCATGGCTGTCCTGGTTGCAAGCCTTCTGGGGTCACTAAGAGTCTAGGAGATGCATGCCTGTGGGGGAAGTAGGGACAGGATGGGGCACCGCAGACATGCTCGGGAAGGACAGTGCTCTCTGGGTCCTCTGTCTTGAGGCGTTTATTTCTCTCTTGCAGGCAGGGAATCATAGGGGAGGTCTCGGAGAGTTGCAGCAGACCATTTCTCAGTTTTCCAGGTGTGCTCCTTCAGGTCCTGGTCTTCACTGATTGGTCAGTGTCAGGGCAGGGAGTTGTTAGTCATTGCAGCGGGTCCTGGTATCATCCACCAGGTTTTACTTCTTTTCTGGGTCTGGAGCTTCTGAAACACAACTGAGGCCTACATGTTATCTCTAGGGAGGTGACCTTCTGTATCTGCTGTGAATTGCTCTGTCCGTGTGTTCACTTGTCCTCAGTTTCCCCAGTCCACTTGTCCTGGCTTACCGGCCTGTCTCAGTTATACTCACTTTTTCAAAACAAAACAAAACACACAACAACAAATCCAGGTGTCTTTGGCCAGTATTAAGCAGAATGTTAGCCTCTGAAGCAAGTTCCCAGAAACAGTTACTGAAAGGAGTGAGATATTTGGTGACTTTTTACAGGGCTGGAATGAGCCCTACTTATCTTCCAAGCGGAAAACACACACACACAGATCTTGAGTCTTCTAGTGCAGTGAAAAACAGTCTTTATCTCTTTGAGGTTCTCCTTCTCTCTTCTTGTCCAGTTATATTAAAACCAAATGAAGGACACAAAAAGGTCAAGTGTGTCCATGCTCATCTCTCAGCTAAATTCAGTCTTTCCTTGCTGAAAGCAAGTTTTTAGAACAGGCACAGGTGACTCAGAACATTCTCCCCGGAATTCCCTGGGGCTGCTGCCCTTGGGGTCCAAGAGCCTCCAAAGGTCCTCTTTCGGGGACTAGGAGGCACTGAGTTCAGCCCCCCAGCTTCATGAATGCCGACGCAACGCGGCCGAGTGGACGGACTGCACGTCCTGTGCTGTGTGTGGAAGCCACATGGCGCTTTCTGCAGAGAGGGAGAGGCAGAGCGAAAGGGAATTGAGGGAACTGAGAAACAGCAAAATTCCTTGTGGCATTTCTAAATGGGGCTGTGATTAAGCACACACTTATATTATCTGTTCTAAAAACAAAACTTGTGTGTGTGTGTGTGGGGGGGGGTATTTTGGGTCCTGATTAACCTTCCCTAAAAATCTCCCAAGAAAATCCTTGGTATTGTTTTTCTCTCTTTCTTAGTTCCCTCTCCTTTGCTCCTCTCCATGGACATTTTTGGAGGAAGGCAAATCGGCTCTATCAGCCTACTGCAGAGCTCAAATATGGAAATAAAGATGGTCAGAGTGTTCTCTGACAGCTGTGTCTCTGAACGGAGCTGTCCCAAAACAGCAAAGAAGAGTCTTGAGCCATGGCTTGTGGCCTCTCTGTGTCTTTAATCCTCGATCCCACCAACTCTCCACAGGTCTGTTAGGACAATCTTGGAAGCAGTCCACTTAACCCAGCCTTCCCTGCTTTGTCCCTCCCACTGTGGTCCAGCAGCGCCTGGACTGTCCTGGAGTGCTGGCATCAAGACCAGAGCAGTTAAAACACCAGGAGTGAGGTTAAACGTATAAGGTCCCTGGGCCTGAAGCTCCCCAGTGACCAGGAAACACATATCTGAGCCCAGTGAGGAACCCCACAGTTCCCCCTGCTACAAATTCCTAGGTACCTTCTTTTTGAGGTGGGTGAGTAGAAACATCTCCCCATGGAGGAGCTGGGTTGCATCCTAGCATCTCCTACTTTGAGGGTGAGGGGAGACTCAAAAATCCCCTAAGTACACAGGGAAACAAAACCTGGAATTTCCCTGGGGCTTCTCTTGGGTCAGTCTCTCCTCAGCTTTGGAATTGGAGGGGAGGCACAGGACCATGGGAAATTCCTCCCTCTCCCCACACCTGCCCCTGCATACGAAGGAAAATGCTTTTCTTTCTTTAGATACAGGAGCCTTAGACATAGTGAGTTAAGTTTATCTGTTTTCTTTGTTTTTCTGTGTGCAAGGGAGCCACTGAAAAACAAATCCAGTGGCTATGAAGATTTCTTTTTTTTACAGTTAAACAGAGGCATAGAAGAACTCTAAACTTGGTTCCGAGGACCAAACTTGAACTTCAATCGTTGAAGGATTCCTGGAATACTGTTTAGGTGAGCAGAAAATCCCCACTTATCCCACAGGGTGTTTGATCTTTGTTGCCCGATCCCCCGACACGTGCCAAATAGACAACATGTCCTAACCCAAGAAGCTGAAGGTGTTGTGAAATTCAAGCAGAAAGTCATCCGAAGGAGGCAGAAAGGAACAGAAGGGGCAGCAAGGCCGCAGAGAAGGCGTGATGAACAACAGCAGCTCACAGTTTTGCCTGCGGGCACGGTGCCGTGCTGTAAAGTGCGCGTCCCAGGTGAATGCGGAGAAGGCGTTACACTGATGCCTATTTTACAATTCATGGACCAGAGGCAGGTGGGAGAGTGGCCCAACACTCAGTGGCTAGAGTCACACAGCCAGGTTCAAATCCTGACTCCATCACTACCTGGCCACGAGACCTGCAGCAAACTGTGTAGCTGTCCCATGGCTCAGTCTCTTCTGTAATTGGGGACAATAATAGTACTCAGAGTTGCTGTGAAAAGTGCTCAGGGAAGTGCTGTGCCACGCACGCAGTAAATTATGTTTTGTTTTGTTTTTTTATCATTGTAACCTTATTTACCCAGCTGGGAAGCCATGGAGCCAAGATTAGACCCACGTCATCTGGCCACCAAAGGCCTCTGGTTGTGCAGGTAGGTTGTAGGGAACAAGAAGCAGGAAGCTGCGGACAGAGCCCTACAGGCAGCATGGCCTTGCTTCTCTGCTTCAGGTGCCTCCTGCTCAGGCAGGTCTGGGATTTTCCTTTCACACGAAGGCTGAGCCACGGCTCTGACACCCATTAGCAGTGAGCCACAGGCAGATGGACAAAACTTGGGAGCTCCCATCTGCCCCTGCAGTGGCCAGTTTTTGATGCAAAACGCTCTTCAGAGTTTGGGAGGCCTTCACTGCACCTTTCAGGCCTGGTGTCCTGCCAAGCACTGTGCTTGGGGCAGCCTCAGTCTCCAGGCCCGGCCTCTCGGGCACCACTCTTTTCCACGAACAATTCAATGAGCTCTTTCTTCAGCCCAGCCATGCATCATCAAGGCACGACATGGGCTTGGCTCAGCACCGCCAGGCAGTGGGGTTTTTGGACTCCAGTCACCGGTTGGGTTGGCTGCCCTCCCTGCTGAGGGCTGCTCTTTCTCGGGTATTCCCCTGGCTCATACCCTCACCCCAGTAACTATTCCCAAGGGACTTCTGTGATTGTGGCTAAAGCAGCTCCCCACCCCCAACCTGACACACACATACCCCATTGTCAGGCAGGGCCCCCCAAGCTCAGGGAAATAGGCCCAGAATTCAAGCCATGTCACTGCTCAGTGGAGGAACTCAAGAGATACCAAGGAACAGCCACCCCAAATCTCTTCTCCTCTGATCAGGCTTCTAGCCTACCAATTTGTTCATTGCAGGCATTCCTTTAGGTTATATTTAGCCTAAATCTCTGTTCCAGGTTGCCAAGACACACCTAGTTTACACCTGTTGTTCTGACATAACTGTTAACAGGGTCTCTTTCCTTCTCAAAGTGTCTTGGTTTGAGCCTAAACTGTTTATTTCTAGTTTTAGTACATTCTCTCTCTGTTAAGATGTAACATGGGGCCGGGGGGGGGGGGGGGGATGCACCATGGCCCCTAAGTATTTGCATTTGCTAGTCCAAGGTATAGAAAAAGTACTTGGGAGGACTTGGAGAAATTGCTCTAGGTTTGTTCATTTGGTAGGAGAAGGGAGTTTAAGAGTTGAAGGAGGGGAGAGATTTGAGATAAAATGGGCTTAAGAAAAGATCTGCAGCTCTGTTTGGCATGGCTCAGTGGTTAGAGCGTCAGCCAGCACACCAGAGCTTTGCGTGTTCGATTCCTGGTCAAGGGCACGTACCTGGGTTGCTGATTCGATCCCCCACCCCTGTCCAGGCGAGTGCTAGAGGCAACAAATTGATGGGTCTCTCTCACATTGATGTTTCTCTCTCTCTCCCCCCTCCCTTCCATTCTCTCTATAAATCAATGAAAATATATCTTCCCAGGAGGATTAACAACAACAAAAATACCTGCAGCTTCTATCCTTACCTCCCTTGCCAACCAGATCTGGTCAGGTGCCATCTTCTGTGTTTTCTTACCTTTCCTGGGCTTACTCCAGGATGACAAATGTCTGGTGATCTGCCAGATTCTCCTCCAGATCACAAGTTTCCTAAGGGCAAGGACATGTTATTCTTCCCAGTGTCTAATCCCATGTTTGTCACATAGTAGGCACTCATTAAAAATTTCCCCGAAATAAATGAATCTGAGACTCAATCAAAGGGACAGCCTAGCTTTTCAAGGTGGTATTAGAGATATTTATGTAAACTGTTTATTTAGCACATGTCCTCCCAAATCATAGACTTTCATTAAATAACAACTTAGATGCTATTTTATTATTTGTCATGCAATCACCCTAAAAGCAGTTCCACTAAAACCACGCTGGAAGACTGGAACTGCACCTCCCAGTGTGTTGTCATTGTATTGCGACTTACTTTTCATTCTCTAGGCTGTCTCTGAAGTTCAATTTCTTTCTTTTTTTTTTATCTTCACCCTAGGACATTTTTCCATTTTTTGTTCAGGTAGAGTGGGAGGGAGAGAGAGGAACAGAAAGAGAGAGAGAAACATCGATGTGAAAGGAACACATCGAGTGGCTGCCACCCGCACAATCGACCAGGGCCGGGGACAAACTGCAACCGAGGTACGCGCCCTTAGCGGGAACCGAACCCGGGTCTCTCAGGACCGCAGGCCGATGCTCTAACCGCTGAACCAAACCGGCCAGGGCCTGAAGTTCAATTTCAACTGGGCTGCACTGCAGGGACTTGGTGTGATGGGAGGGGAAACACACAAGGTTATTTGTTCCACAACTCATTCAGGGTCATCAGTTCTTAGAAAATAAGGCAGTTAAGTCAAATGGATGGGAGGAGCACTAGGTGCTTGGGAAGGGTCTACAACATTGTTGGTGGCAGAAAATTGGGTGAGGTGAAGAGGGGCAGAGCAAACATGAAAAATGGGAAGGGTGTTCCAAGAGCACCTTCATCGGCTTTGCAATATTGTGCAGGATCAAGACGGCAGCTTCGTTTCCCATTTCATCCTCACAGAGTCCTGTGCAGTGGGGTATTCTTACCCCATTTTCACTTGAGAACACTGAGGGGAATGGTCAGATAACTTACCTAGGATTCAACAGCAGTTGAGAAGCAGCACTGAGCACGGAAATTCACCCCAGATCTGCCTGGGCCAGAGCTTACACACGATCTTCCCAGCTTGCTGCCCTCCTGGGGTAGGAAAAGCAAGAAAGATCTGGAATGAGGTTTCAATTCCCATTTCCTGACCCAAGCTACAAGAGGTGGGACCCCACTGGGCTGACCCCAGCACAGGGCCTGGTCCCCAGGAGGCTCCCAGCCAATATCGAATGAAGCCATGGAGAACTGAGTTCAGGTAAACTCCTGCTGGAACATGGCAGTAGGGCAGACATATACCCAAACTGGTAGTATCATTTGCATCATCCCTGAATACTCTTCTTCCACGAGGATCTTGAACCAGGAACCATGAGAAAAATGTAACTATATGTTTTGCTTGGGAATCATTACTTTTCATTTTATCTTTTATTTTTATTAATTTGAGAGAGAGAGAGAGAGAGAGAGAGAGAGAGAGAGAGAGATACATTGATTTGTTGTTTCACTTATCTATGAATTCACTAGTTGCTTCTTTTTTTGAGAGAGGGAGGAAGAGAGAGAGAGAAACATTGACGTGAAAGGGACACATCGACTTAATTGCCACCCACACTACCCCACCCGGGGCTGGGGACAAACTGCAACAGAGGTACGTGCCCTTAGTGGGAACCAAACCCAGGACTCACTGGATGCTCTAACCACTGAGCAAAACCGGCCAGGGCCACCGGTTGATTCTTGTATGTGCACTGACTGGGGATCAAACCCATTACCTTGGTATAGTGGGACAGTGCTCTAACCAACTGAACTACCTGGCCAGGGCTCATTTTATTTTTTTAAATAGGAGAGATAAAATAAGAGTGCCCATTAGATGCCTATAAAAATAAGGTTGGCCTATATAATGTATATGTAATTTACAATTCATGCTTAATGACTTTTCTTCCAGTCTAATACATTTTAAAATTAGAATGTATATTTATAATATTTTGGAGCTGGAAAGGATCTTAATGTTTCTCTGATCAAACACCCACTTTTCAGATGAGAAAGTTGAGACACCATTTGTATCATGTGTCTTATCTAAGGCCAAGCTCTATGGAACTGGTTAAAAAGCTAGGGCACTCCCTCTAGGCTACAAGTTTTCAAATTATAGAGAGTGAGCCAGTAGTGGGTAGTTAAATCAATTTTATAAGTTATAACCAACTTTTATTTTTATTTTACTTGTATTTAAAAAGAAACTTCAGCCCTGGCCGGTTTGGCTCAGCGGTTGGAGCGTCGGTCTGCGGTACAGAGAGACCCAGGTTTGGTTCCCGCTAAGGGCACATACCTCGGCTGCAGTTTGTCCCCGGCCCTGGTTGGTCGTGCGGGTGGCAGCCACTCGATGTGTCCCTTCACATCGATGTTTCTCTCTCTCTCTCTTCCTCTCTCTCCCTCCCGCTCTATCTGAACAAAAAATGGAAAAATGTCCTCGGGTGAGGATTAAAAAAAAATTTAAAAAAAAATAATAAAAATAAAAAGAAACTTCATCTTTAGAGCAGTTTTAGGTTAACCGTGATTATCTTTTTTTTTTTTTGTATATCCCCCTAGTGGGAACTGATCCCGGGACTCTCTGGTCTGCAGGCCGACGCTCTAACCGCTGAGCCAAACCGGTCAGGGCGCAGTTTTAGGTTAAAAGAAAAATTACACAGAAGGTACATTTGCTACAGTTGATGAACCAATATTGGTACATGATTTTTAACTGAAATTCATAGTTTGTTAGTGCACTGTGTTTTACATTCTGTGGGTTTTGACAAATGCATGTCATGTGTCCATCATTAGCATGTAGTTTCCCTAACTTAGAAGTGCCCTGTGTTCTCCCTATGCACACTTCCCCCACACCTACTGGACCTCTGGTTCATTTTTTTTTTACATGTAAGATAGAACAGAACTTTAAAAATCACAGTGCATAACTCATAGCATGGGTATTATTTCATGAAACTTTAAAAAATATATATGTAGCCCTGGTAAGTTTGGCTCAGCGGTTAAAGTGTCGGCCTGCAGACCAGAGTCTCGGGTTTGGTTCCCACTAAGGGCACGTACCTCGGTTGCAGTTTGTCCCCGGCCCCATGGGGTTGTGTAGGTGGCCGCCAGTCGATGTGTCTCTCTCACATCAATGTTTCTCCCTCTCTCCTTTAGGCTCTATCTGAAGATAGGTGCGAAAATGTCCTTGGGTGAATATAAATATATATATATTTAGGTTAAAATGTAAAATATATTTCTTACTGTGGGTTGGAGGGGGGAAAAAGTTTGAGAAACACTGCTTTAAACTGTCTCTTACTTAAAATTCTAGGGACTAAATCCAGAAAATGAAATACATACACAGATGGAACATTTCATATATAAAACCAAAACAAGAAAAAACATAACCAAGAAACATTGAGAAAATAAACAAGCATACAAATATTTTCTGAAGAGTGAGTACAAAGAGGTCAGCAAGCTTTCCCCTAAATCAGTTTTGATTTTAGTTTCCCCATTGAACTGCAAAGCATTCAAATTTGAAGACTTGAACATTCTCAGAGTTGAGTACAAGATACAGAAAGTTGCAGGGGTGGGGTGGGGGTGGGGGTAGGAGGAGCAAGGGTTTCATCTTTGCAAATGAATTCTGTTCAGAGTTTCTAAAAATGTTCTCTGGATGGTACTCAACAAAGAAAACTGTTTTGTTGGGGTTTTTTTTAGGAGGGCTTTTCAAGGTTGATTTGGCTCTACAGCTTCACATTTCTTACTTTTTTATTTGAAACATCACGGAAGTAACAGGGATGCTGTTGTATTTAACTTCATGTCATGCCAAGTGAAGATTTCTAAAGGATTCTGATTTATGTTTGAGTTAGATTCCTACATTTAAAAAAAAATCTCCCTTCCATGTGGACAGGCTCCTTCTGTCCACGAGAAGGTGGACTCTAGATACACCAGTGTCTCGGGGAAATCCTGGTTTCAAACTTTGAATCACATTGGCCAACACGTGGCCTGCCAGTAAGACTAAGATTCAAAGCCCACGTTCTAGTGCTGATTACTGCATGAGGCTGAAAAGGAATTCTCTCAGTATTCTTTTTCAAGTGTGATATATGAAAATTCCACATTAAATGATGCTAAGATTATATTAGAAGCGTCTTATGAGTAACATGCTGGGCTAAACCCTTTGTGTGTGTCTAAGCCTATTAACAATCCTATGACATATAAATTGTCATACTCATTTAACAGTTGAATAAGTTTAAGCTCAGAAGGCTCAAGGAGCCTGCCCAACATTACCCATAAAGACAGTAGTTAAGCTGGATTGGAACCCATGTCTGAAAGAGCATGGGCCTATTCTTCTGAGTGTCTCCAGGGCTTGACGTAATGCTTGGTACATGCTCAGTAAATGTTTCCTGAAGGAATAGCTGATGAGAAGAGCAAGGTTTAGCAAAGATTTTGGGTGGTTGTAAAGATAAATAAGATAATACGATTCCTATACTTGTCATTCATTGAGCACTTACTTTGCTCCAGGCACTGTGTTAAACAACGCTTTACAAGTATTGTACCCATAATGTACATAAAGGACATTAACATGAGACATGGCATATAGTAAGGATGTCAGTGTTACTAATATTATTATATGTCACTATAATGGTAGCTATTATCATCATAGCAAAAGAGCTTAACGTTATGATCACTTCCAACCCACACACTCATGGCTTTTCTCTGAGAACTGTTGAACAGGTCAAACTGAGGGTCAGCCCTTTCAGCAGTGAACTAGCCCCAACCTGGTTTCTCCTTCCATCTCTTTTTCACTTAGGTGCAATTACATCATGTGTTGGTTTGTCCCTAAATTACATAAGGAACCCCGCTATGCTGTGTGAGGGAGGAAGGGGGCTGTGTTCTGTGGTCGCACCTAGTTTGCATAACGTGTTCTTCTTTTTCAGGGTGAATTGAGAAAGAGGCCATGTGGTCTGGTGGCAGCAGCTGGGAGGAAAGCAAGGTGACTCAGTGCTCTGCGTGGAACAGTGCAGGGCAGCTCACAGGAGCAGCAAAGATCAGCCTCCCTCCAGCCATGAGGGAGCTGTTTGCTCTGAGCAGAATCAGCTCGGCAGGCAGCCCTGGCTGGGAGGGGGGAGAGGAAGAAAGCTTTCCTGGTGGGACCTGGTCAGGATGTGTCAGTGGCCTTGAGGAAACTGAAGAAACTCTGGGGGACTGGAACATGTGTTATCATCCTAGTATTGAAAGTTCTTTGTCACCTGAGCTATTTTAGGGTGGGGAAGTACCAGGTATTGGCTGACTATGGGTCTAGGCAAGGTCTTGAGCCTATAGCCTTGAACTTAAACTTCCAGATGGTAACTGGAATCTTTCATGAAGCATAGGCCACGGCAGGATTATTATGCATATTTTTAGAAATAGAGAAGTTTATTACAAGAATAGATCTTCAATCTAATGGTCCTACTATGAAACTCAGTATCAAAATATTTTGAAAGAGGATCCATATAAATACGAAGTTTCTGTTATCTGTAATGACTTGAAAGTCTTTCACCAAAAATTTTCATGAACAAGATCTTAGAGCTTATTCATTCCTTCCTTTCTTCATTCAATCAATCCATCTGAGATTTATCATTATTAAAAAAAACTTTAGCCCTGCCCAGTTTGGCTCAGCGGTTAGAGCGTCGGCCTGCGGTCCAGAGAGACCCAGGTTCAGTTCCCGCTAAGGGCATGTACCTCGGTTGCAGTTTGTCCCCGGCCCTGGTTGGTCATGTGGGTGGCAGCCACTCGATGTGTCCCTTTCACGTCGATGTTTTTCTCTCTCTTTCTCTTCCTCTCTCTCCCTCCCACTCTATTTGAACAACAACAACAAAAAAATCTTTATATTCTCTGAGATAGAGTTGATGGTGACCTGAGCAGATAGAAATCAGAAGACTGGGATGTGAGTCCCATTTTCATTAGTACTTTATTGTGAAATCTTGGGAAGGTTGCTAAAAGGTGAATTAAAATTCTTTGCCTATATTCTAAGAACTTTTAAAAAATTCACGAGATAATGTATGGAAAGTGATTGGTAAGTGGATAAAACACCATGTTAAATTATGATGTTTTACCTATTAAAGAAACTGAGACATGGAATGAACAAAAAATTCATCCTGAGTCATAATTAGCTAATAAAGGAAGGCCAAAGATGAGATATAAATTCAGGTGACTGAACACATTACAGGCTGGAGTTGATTCAGCAAATCAATTTTTCTTTTTGCCGTCAAGATGCACGTGACTGTGAGCAACAGTAGCCCTCCAAGGTGTAAAGGTGTAGGGGCACTTACTGAGAGTATGCAGAGATCTCACAGGATTCGAGGACGGAAAACAAAGTGTTGCTGGGCTTCATTTTAATTGGCCAGAGAACCAGGAGCCTTCAGGAGCATGGGGCAATCCCCGTATCTCTGTCTCTGCTTCTGAGTCAACTCTAGCCTTTTCTCCGTTGTTCCTGCCTTCCTCTGCTCGTCCATCTTGCATGAGGCACACCATAGCTCCTCCTCTGGAACCTGCACCATGACCTCTAAGTTCCAGCATGCACCTCAACTGGCAACATGGCAACACACACTGAGATTGTAGGGAGGGAGGAATTGGCCTGGCTCCTCTGAGAGCACTGGGGCCACATAAGTCATTTCTGAGCAATCGATTGATTCCTCCTGGGTCAGGTGTGTGCTTACCCTTGGTCCAACCAACTGTGGGCTTCCCCACACCCACTCTCACCACTACCTGTTCCTAGAAGTCACATTATCACACATTATCTTGTTTAGCTATAGCTTCAAGAGAGCTGTGGGTGGCAAGGGTGCTAAATTGCCAGGCTGGATATTATCACATAAAGAGAGGAATTATTTACAGGGAGAGTGTACTTCGAATGCTTTTATGATGTATTTCAGTCATGAAATTTAAGACCCAAATTTCCTTGTCAAAAAAATATACACAATGGAGTACTATGCAGCTGTAAGAAAAAAAGATCTGTTATCCTTTGAGACAACATGGAGGGACCTGGAAAGTATTATCCTAAGCGAAACAAGCCAAGCAGAAAAAGACAAATACCGCATGATCTCACTTATTTATGGAATGTAATGAACATAACAGTCTGAGAAATAGGGTAGACCCAGAGACGTGGAAGTAAGGTTCACACTGACAACCCTGGAAGAGGGATTGGAGGGGGGAGGGAGGAGATAAACCACAGAACTTATATGCATGTACGCATAACCAGTGGACATGGACAACAAAATGGGGGATGGGGACGGGGTGTGGGGGATGGGGAGGAGGGTGTCAGTGGGGTAAAAAAGGAGAAACGTCTGAAACAAAAATAAAATAAAATAAAATAAATGTTAAAAAAAAATCACCCCTACCCCTCTGTCCTTGTGGTCCATAGATAAAATAAAATAAATCAATTTAATGTAGTAAGTATTGTATTGGGCTCTGAAGATAGATATATATGTCCACAAGGTATGTCTACAAATATCTGCAATATAAGACAGTCTGTGGCAGTTTCTTAGAAACTGCCTTACAAAATTACATAGAAGCATTAAAAAGGATTAAATCTCCTGGGGGACTCCAAAAGGTTGCCCTAAGCACAATTTGTCTTGAGGTATTCATTTAATTTTTATAGAGAGAGATGTGATATTGGAAAGACATGAAAAAAAAAAGTGAGTTTCTTTTAACTCTGTTGATAGTATCTTTTTTTTTAATCCTCACCCACTGACATCTTTGTATTTATCCTCAGACAGAGCAGGAGGGAGAGAGGGAGGAAGAGAGAAAAAGAAACATCGATGTGACAGAGACATATCGACTGGTTGCCACCTGCACAACCCCAACCAAGGCACATGCCCTCAGTGGGAACCAAACCCAGGACTCTCCGGTCCCCAGGCCTATGCTCCAACCACTGAGCCAAACCGGCCAGGGCAGATAGTGTCTTTTGATGCACGAAAGTTTTACGTTTTCATATCACCCTATTTGTCTGGTTTTTCTTTTGTTGTTCTCAGAACTCACTGCCAAATCCACATCATGAAGATTTCCCTCTATTTCTTTGTAAGAGTTTTATAGTTTTAGCTTTTGAGTTTACATCTTTGATCCATTTCAGCTAATTTTTGTATATGGTGTAAAGTAAGGGTCCAGCTTCATTCTTTTGCATGTGCATATATGGTTTTCCTAAACCATTTGTTGAAAAGATTATCCTTCCCCCAATGAATAGTCTTAGTCCCCTTGTTGAAAATCATTTGACCATATATGTATAGGTTTATTTCTGGGCTTTCTATTCTATTCCATTGGTCTGTATGTCTGGCCTACACCACCCACACAGTTTTGATTACTATAACTTTGTAATTTTGAAATCAGGAAGTGTAAGTCCTTCAACTTTATTCTTTTTCAAGGTTGTTTTGGCTACTCGAGGTCCTTTACATTTTATATGAATTTTAGGGTGGGTTTTTCTATTTCTGCAAAAATAAGATGAGATTTTGATAGTGATTACATTTGAATCTGTAGACTGCTTTGGTTAGAATTTGCACAGCATTTTGAATGCACTAAATTGTACCCTTTTAAAGGGGTTAATTATGTGTTATGTGAATTTCAGTTCAATTGAAAAGAAAAAGATTGGGTGATTACACCTGAAGAGCAGGTATGGGGGTGCCATGAGGCAGCTGGAAGGGAAAAGAGGTTGCAATCAGAGGGAGGAATGTTGGGCTTTAAGACCTCTAATACAGCCCAGTCGATGTGGCTCAGTGGTTGAGCATCGACTCATGCACCAAGAGGTCACCGGTTCAATGCCCAGTCAGGACACATGCCCAACTTGTGGGCCTGATCCCCAGTGTGGGGCATGCAGGAGGCAGCCAATCAATGGTCTCTCTCATTGATGTTTCTTTCTCTCCCTCTCTTAAAACCAATAAATTTAAATTAAATTAAATTAAATTAAAAAGACCTCTAATACAGAATAGTTTAGGGTAGATGAAGGAGTTGAGCAGATAAAAAGACTGGGAGGCTAAGGTACTCCAAGATAATCCAAAAAGAGCCCTGGCCGGTTTGGCTCAGCAGTTAGAGTGTCCGCCTGTAGTCAGGAGAGACCCGGGTTCGGTTCCTGCTAAGGGCATGTACCTTGGTTGCAGTTTGTCCCCGGCCCTGGTTGGTCGTGCGGGTGGCAGCCACTCGATGTGTCCCTTTCACGTCGATGTTTCCCTCTCTCTCTCTCTTCCTCTCTCTCCCTCCCACTCTATCTGTACAAAAAATGGAAAAACGTCCTCGGGTGAGGATAAAAAAAAAAAAAAAGATAATCCAAAAAGATGCCCAATTCACAAGGATATTCAAGATTGCCATTTCAGAGGGATACATGCGCAGGTGGGAATGGTGGTTATCACTGGAATGTAGCGTTATAAGGAAATTTCATTATTATAGTACCTTTTCAAGGAGAAAGAATAATTAAAATTGTTTTTAAGCTGTAATATAGAAAGTTTAATTTAAGAAAAGACAGTGAACAAGGTGCCTCTCTCTGAATCATCGTGGGAGTGGCAGAAAGGTGTTAGATGATACAGACATGGGTAGGGAGGGGGTGAAAATACCAGCTGGCTTAATCTCTTATTTATTTTCAGTGTAATGGTCTGGCAATAGCATTGTCGAGCTGGGAGAAAGCCAACCCTGCCTCCCAACCCTGAAGTGCATGAGGCTTGGTAGGGTAAACACCCCTGAATTCAAGACTGTGGCAGGGGAAGCTATGTTCTTGTACGATAGCCAACTTTCAGTTAAAGCAAGGAGTATGAGATAGGCTGGTGATGTGAAAAGGTTGTTCACCATGAAATGGATCTTCCACAACCAACAGAAGAGGGTGAGAAGGAAAGGAGCAGTGGGGAGAGGCACAGGGTGGGCTGGGGACCAGTGAATAAGGTAGGATGGATGACTGGAGGCACTTACATTTTAGGTGCTTCTATGGTATAGGAAAAGAGAGGGGGGCAGGATTCAGTAGGAAATAGTGGACTTACAGGCCCAGAGAGGCCTCTGATGTCAAGTTTAGTAACAGTGGAACAGGTCTTCTAGGATCTGAACAGGATTTGTAAAAAACAGAGGTTCATTATGGGTTTTTCACCAGTGTAGGGACAGATGAAAACAGCATTAAGGAAGATTAGTGTGAGAAATATCCATGCAAAGTGGATTAGGGCAGGAAAAACTAGATGTGCAACTATCCGAACATGGTGTGGTGTAGGATTGGACTGGGAGGAGAAAAAGATAATTTCAAAATAAAAACAAACAGAACTTGTTTTAATTTTTAAGATTTTGTTGAATTTATTAGGGTGATATTGGTTAATAAAATTATATAGGTTTCAGGTGTACAATTCTATAGTACATCATCTATATATTGTGTTGTGTCCACCCCCCAAGTCAAGTCTCCTTCCATCACCAATTATCCCCACTTTACCCTCTTCTACCT